GACATTTGTGACGATGTGTGATGAGGGGGGGGGGGTGGTTTGAGAAATGTGACGTCACATCAAATGCGCAACCTTACTTAAATATAGACCAACACGTTCTAAATTAAATAGACTGTTTAATAAATTTTTATTCTACAGCATCAGAGTGCAGCGCCACATTAAATACGCACTTCAATGACAATAGCTTAAAGCGATTTGAAGCATGTTTTATTTTATTGGGGGGGGGGGGGCAGAGCTTTGTGACGTCATATTTGAGGGGGGGTGTCTGACTTTTTGTGACGCCGTGTGACGATAGGGGGGGGGGGGTGGTAAAAAATCGTCCAAAATCGCGTGACGTCATTTATGGACGGCCCCTTATGAGTCACTGTGCCCCGCCCCCTCCCGCTTTGTCTTGCAGAGTCAGCTGTCGCTTGCGCTGGCCGGCCTGGCGGACAGGGCCACGCAAGCCCACGCCTTCGTCCAGGGGCTCAAGGACGCACTGCAGAGTGTGCAGGCGAGAGGGCGGCGCTCCGTTCGTGCGATTGCATCCCACAACGCTGCCGCAATCGATTAAGCCGGTCCCTTACGCAGAGGGCGCAAGCGCAAACACCCCCACCCCCCCCATATGAAATAAATAAATAAACTACAAGATGAATTACGTAAATAAATACGCATCACGAGAAATTGACCGTCATGTTTTAACGTTATACCGATTCGTCCGATCGAAGAAGGGGATTCCGCCGCAGGTCGAGCGTGCCGATGAGCACGCTCGACCTGCCACCCGGAGGTCGATTCGATCTCCTGGCGCGGCAGTCGAAACAGCCGAGCAAGTTTCTGAAACCTTCCCCGCAAAACGTCTCGGGCCCACGCGGTCGCGCACCTCATCGCCTGGCCGCGTCGTGCCGGCCTGCTCGCTCACCACCGCACAACCACTTTCAGAGTTTCACCGCAGCTTCACATTAGCACAAATCGAGCGAACGGAGTGGGCGGGGGGGGGCTGCGTGACGGATGGGCCGGAGGGCCCCCCCCACCTCCCCGCCCCCCCCCCACCACCACCACCCCCCCCGCCCACCACCGGTTTATTGACGCAATTGGCCACCGCGCAGATGGCGAATTTTGTCGTAATAATGCGCGGAGGCGCGTGACTCACCCACGGATATTTTCGGCAGATCCCCACGCGCGCATGCGTACGGATTGTGTGAGTGGGTGGGGGGGGGGGGCACGTTGGGGGGGCTGTAGTGGGGGGGGGGGCTTGTGTGTGTGTGGGGGAGGGGGGTAGGTGTGTGTGTGGGTGGGTGGCGGGCGAGCAGGGAATATATTTATCTTTTACGGTGGAACTGTAAAAAAAAACAGGAGAGAGAGGAGGATTTCGATCGGGAGCTGTAACCCGTGGGGGGGGGGGGGGGGGGGGAGCGAGGCGGCGGAGTGTAAATTGTGACCCCCCCCCGGGGCCGCTCGCCCGCCCGCCCCCCCCGCCCCCCCCCCGGGGGTGGTTTAAGCGCCGTCACGACAACAAAAATCTCCCGTGGGCTTGCGGCAGAGCCATCGCCTCGAACGTCGAGGCCCATTTTGTTGGCGATCTTTTTTGTTGTTCGTTACGGCGGTAGACAGCGACCTTCAACGTCAGTAGCAACAATAGAATACCTTCATTGTTATCAGCAGCAGCTGCAGCCTTGCTCCATCCACTGCTGGGCGAAGGTCATTGTATACATTCATTATCATACCTTCAACGTCAGTAGCAACAATAGAATACCTTCATTGTTATCAGCAGCAGCTGCAGCCTTGCTCCATCCACTGCTGGGTGAAGGTCATTCATCATCATCAACAGCCTTGCTCCATGCTGGGCGAAGGTCATTGTATACATTCATTATCATACCTTCGACGTCAAGTAGCAACAATAGAATACCTTCATTGTTATCATCAGCAGTTGCAGCCTTGCTCCATCCACTGCTGGGTGAAGGTCATTCATCATCAACAGCCTTGCTGGCGAAGGTCATTGTATACATTCATTATCATACCTTCAACGTCAGTAGCAACAATAGAATGCCTTCACCAGCATCAGCAGCCTTGCTCCGTCTACTGCTGGATCAAGGCCCTGCCAAAGCCGCTCACGATCCTGCGACGCGATAATCCAGCCAGCCGCCGGCGGAGCGGGACGATGATTCCATCGCTCCGTCTCCGCGGTTTTTCACGTCCCATCGGACGCGTTCCACTCCTCGACTGGGCACTCTGTCGTTGTTGTTTTTCTTCTTCACCTGCCGGACATCGCCCCCCCCCCCCCCCACTGCGCCCAAGCACCGCTCACCTCGCCCAGCAGCTCGGACGATGTCGTTAACCCCCACGTGCTTCTCTCGCCCCTCTCCTCTGCTTCTCAACATCGTTCCAACCACGAGGTCGGGTCTGCACGTTTCTACGTACAGGCAGTCCCCGAGTTACGGACGGGTTAGGTTCCCCAGAACGATCCGTAACCCGGGTTTTTCCGCGATGTTCGGAAACGGAACTAAATCCTTCCCCCCCCCCCCCCAAAAAAAAGAAGATAAAATCGCATTGCCGGAAATAGTTGTGCCTCAATCTTGATTTGAAAGCTTTCGTTGCCCGCAGGAATCCATACTCTTTGCTTCTTTCGGTAAAGTCACGTAGGTGGAAAGTCAAAATAAATCACGACGTTTCGATCGCGACACAAGCGACCGTCATCAGGTGAGACAATCACAGCAGGGAAACTGCTGGAACGGGTTGCGCCTCGCCTGCCCGATTGCTGCTTCGCTTTCTCTCAATACCGGCGATTTGGCGGAGCGAGGCATAAGGCAAGGGCCGCCTTACGCCTCGCTCCGCCGGTATTCACCCGCAACATCACCGCGCTGCGTTGCTCGCGCTCACGTGACTAGCGCAAACCTTTGCGCATGTTTAAATGTTCACATTTAAATGTGTTTGTTTTTTTTTAAAAACACGATTTTACGGGAGCGTTTCCGTAACGTCGGGTCTCCGTAAGTCGAGCTCTTCCGCAACCCGGGGGACTTACCGTACAACGATTTAGCCTTGGCCCCATGTTCTTACTCGCAGCGAACATGATTTCTGAACCACGCGTCACTCACAGGCGGTCCATGCACACAAAGACAAAGGTCCCCCGTGTAGCCTGACCAGACTGTTGGCGCAAGTGCCGTTTAGCGAACAGCACCTGTGCAAGCCGGCACGGCACACGAGGTGGTGGGTGGCCAACAACCACGCCCGGCCGCCTTTGTCTCCCCCCGTGGCAATCTTTTTACACACCGCACCAGGTACGCATTTGAGGCCGAGTCGACCTAGGGGAGGCCCAGAACCGGTTCGGAGATAATCGTGACCGGTGTTTTGGCCGCGAGCGGGAATCGAACTCGGGGCGCCGGGGTTCGTAGCGCGGCGTAGCGCGCTAATCGCTGCGCCACCGCTCCCCGCCCGTGGTTACTCCACCACGCGCACCGTCCAGACGCAACATCGGACCGTTGGATGAGAACCGCGCGTGCTCCTTTGCTGCTCATTCCAGCGCCGCTTTTGAGCTGGAGGAGAGGGGGGCATGAACTCGAAATGGGACTGCGCGTTCCTCACTGCCCGCGGTTCATCTTGAACTCTCACCTATCTCCCTACCTCCCTCTCTCCCTACTCGACAGATGTTAAATCACCCCCGCCCACGCTCGCTCTACCCACTCAAAAGATAAAGATCCACTCCGCTACCCTCCACCGTGTGTAGCCTCAACAGACCGTTGGGGCAAGTGCTGTTGACGAGTAGCATCTCGGAAGGCCGGGACTGTTGCACACGAGGGGGTGGGTGGCCGTCACCACGCCCGGCCGCCTTTGTCTCCCCCGGTGGCGATGATTTTACACGCGGCAAACCAGGTCCTCATTTGAGGCTGGGTCGACCTAAGGGAGGACCCAGGACCGGTTTAGATATAATCGCCGCTGCTGTTGGCCGCCAGCGGGAATCGATCTCGGGGTCGCCGGGTTCGAGGCGCAGCACGCTAACCGCTACACTGCCGCTCTCTGCTCACTCTCAGACACACACGGGGCACAGGGGGCAGTAGCGCCCCCCCCCACCGCCCCCCGCTGCCCCCCCCCCCCCAAAAGTGTTTAGACACCTGATGTGTGTCATAGAGATTTCAACCATTTTTGGGATATTTCGTCGAAGCAAATTAGCACATTTGTCGGTTACATCCACAACATACGACTTGGGGTAGGCCCTCGTCCAGCAGTGGATCGATCACGGCTGTGAGAGTGTGGATGTAAATTTGCCCAAACGACCAACCGAGGAATTCTCGGCGCGCGATTGAACGAATCTCTCATTTTGGGCACATCTCACGTGATGTGATGGGGAAACGTAATTTATGCGCAAATCGGTTTTCCCCCCAGCAAGCAAACGAGTGACTGTATCACGGCAGACCCATGCGCCCACTGCCTGGCGGTGGTTGGATTGCGGTGCGTCGCTGGTGGTGGCTTACTGGCTGGCCGTGTCTGGCTGGCCGTGTGGCTGGGCTGGCGGTCTCTGGCTAGCTGTGTGGCTGGGCTGGCGGTGGCGACGGTGTGGATTTACGGCGCGTGTCCCCGACACGTCCACCGCGTGCTCGCGGGCTCATTTGTATTCCTGCGGCAAGTGCAGCCGACTCCAAGCCTGGCTCTGTCTGCGAGGAGAGCCGGCGGTGTGTGGGCCCCCACCCCCACCAACAACCAACACGCCATGAAACTTTAGTCACCGCGCCAGGGAGGGGGTTGCGAGGGGAGGTGCACTGGGTTCATTTCTTGCTCCGCTGTGCGAACCCAACGCTGTTGTCCTTACGATTAATTGGCTCGCCGTGCAGCTGTTAGCATGCGCGGTGCTCTCTGTTCGGCAGCTCTGTTGATGTTTGTCGCCGCTGCCGCTGCCTTGACGCTGTGCCGATTTGCACCACTGGACCTGCCGTCCGGAATTTGAGTCTATCTCCCGGCGCGGCAGTTTAAACAATCGCGCACGTTTCTTAAATCTAACCCCCCCCCCCCCCCCGCCGCCCCCGCTGTCTCAGTCCATGCGTCACATATGTGCGATTGGCACGTGGCGTGTGGTGGGGTGAAGTGTGATCACTCGAGTATCTTTCGAGGCGCGGAAGAAGTAGGTCGCCACGGTGGCTAGGAGATGTTAACCACCTCGCCTGGTATGCAGGAGGTCGTGGGCTCGATCCCGACCCTGACGCCTGCTGCTGTATATTTGGAGTTTGCGGTGTCTCTCTCTCTCTAATCATCACGGAGGCTAGGAGATGTTAACTACCTTGCCTGGTATACAGGAGGTCGTGGGCTCGATCCCGACCCTAACGCCTGTATATTTGGAGTTTGCGGTGTCTCTCTCTCCCACTGATCGCGTGGATTTTTCTCCGGGTCCTCCGGTTTTTCCCCTCTACGTTTAGAAAAAAACGACATCACGCGTTCAGAGTATTTGGCTGCTATAAATTTCCACACGATGACAAGCCACTTCGTTGAGCTATCATTTGTGATAGCCAGGTCGCTTCTGAAAAAGAGCTATATACAGCTCAGTGGGGGCCTTTACCTGGTAAAATATTAAATACTCTTTGGTTCTATTGGGTAAAGTCACGTAGGTAAAAAATAAAATAACAAAAATCACGACGTTTCGGCCACAACACAAGCGGCTTTCATCAGGTGAAGGCACGAGACTGTCTGGAGGACAGCGCTGGAGTGAAAATATTAAATAGTTAACAAAGTTTTGTTTCAGTTCATCTTCTCTCTCAATAGCTCCCTCTAGCGGGGAGGCCCTTCTGCCGGCAGAGGTGTGAGCGAGCAGTTGCAGGACTGCGCCTCTATCAGCCGGTTGCCAGTTGCGCTCTCGGTGTCAGCCTCATGAGACGTCGAATCCTCCCAGATCTCTCGCGCGGGAAGTGAGGCCCTTACTGCTTAGTCAGAGAACAGCCCGCAGAAGCAGGTATTGCAGAGCCACTCCTAAGACCCCTGGATCGGTTCGCAACAGGGGGGGCGGCACATCGCCACGCGCTCCGCTGCAGAGGCATGTTCGTCGGGTGACGGTCAAACTGATGTTTGATATTCTCACAGCTGGAATTTAGCCAAATGATGTGCTCCCATTTTATGTGCGCAGTCATCGCTGATCTCGTCAAGGAGCGTGAACCACCATGCGAACTCCGGTCAACCTCGCAGCAGCGGCTCTGGCTGGCCATTGAAGGAGGATGCTCACCGCATCGCGCACTTTCAGATACGCTTCTGCTGCGGCCGTCTGGAACGCTCTTCCTTCCGATATTAGCAATCCCCCGGAGCTATGCATTGTTTAAATCGTCTAGGTTAACAAACTAATTTCTTTGGAACTGCTTTTTGTGTTTAGTTTGTTGTCTTTCCCCCACCCCCGCACCTCCGATTAGCACGGTTGTCTACGTGCGGTGTGAAAGAAGTTCAACGCACATACATTCAAGACCGGGATGATACCATGAGTGATTTTTTTGGTTGTTGTTCACATGTGCTGTTTAATCGCTTTCGGATACTTCTCGCACATAAGCGCTTCCTAAAGGCAAAATGCCTTATCCTTAGTAGCGGTTCTGTGATATCCTCTTCCACGGGCCGTTCTCTAACGTGTGGGAGTGAAGCTTCTGCTCTGAATGAGATCCTCAAATCGGCTCTTCGTGTTTGCACACGAGTGGCAAAACATTGAGAAGGGCTAAAAGAAGACAAAAAAAAGTAAAAATAAAAATGTTCGTACCTTAATGTCGTCAAATAGGTAGGTTAAGGAATGCGAGATGGCATCACAGAGATTGGAGGACACGACTGGACAGGAGTGGCTGGGGAATAGGAAGGAATGGAAGGAAATGGGAGAGGTCTTTGCCCAGGAGTGGGAAGTTATCGGCTGGCAACGATATGAGTCAATCTGGGTGTCTGTGTGAGTTGATGGGTCTCAGTGTGAATCTAAGGGTATCTTGTGAGTCTATGGGTCTCTGAGTCTATGGATCACCGTGTAAGCCTGTGGGTCTCTGTATGATTCTGTGGGTCTCTGTACGAGTCCGCGGACCTCTTTGTGATTCTGTGGATCTCTGTGCCAATCGATGGGTCTTTGTGTGAGTCTGTGGGTGTCTGTGTGAGTCTAAGGTAATCGCTGGAGGCTATGGGTCTCTGTGCCAGTCTATGGGTGTCTGTGTGATTCTGTGGGTCTCTCTGATTCCGGAAGGAATGAAATCAAATGGAGGCAAATGGGGGAGAGGTCTTTGAGAAGTCACGAGTTGACAACGACAACAATAACAACAGTAGAGTAACAACAGCAGCAACAACCTTAACTTGACGCTGCGCTGTGACCGTGTGCAGGAGAACAGCGTGGAGCTGGAGGCTTGCCTGGTGGCGCAGGTGGACGCCCTGATGGACGCGCTGCAGCACCGCAAGACCCAGCTGCTGGCGCGGGTGGCGCAGGAGAGGGACCACCAACTTCAGGTGGCACCCAGGGAGCCGCGTCGCGTACGACCTCGACCCGTGACTCTTCGCTGAGACCAACGGCCTGGCCTAGCCTAAACGCTGACCTCAGCACGAACCCAGAGCTCAACCCCGAACCACCGAACACAGTCCAGACCCTGACCTCAACACCAACCAGATGCTGGCAGACGTGATTATGGTGATGCAGCTGGTGGTAGTGATAATGGTGGCGATGATGCTGGTAGTGTTGATGGTGATGATGATAACGATGACCAGAATATTGATCCTGTGTAGGCGGTAACGACCGTGGTGATGATGCGAGCTGTATTAGTGATGATGACGACTTTAATGATGATGACACGAGCGATGGTGTGTTGTCGTGGTGGTGGTGGTGGTAGGTGGTGGTAGCGGTTGGGCGCTGTGCTACTAACCTGGCGATCCGAGTTCGATTCCCAACACCAGTGACTATTATCCGAACCGGTCATGGGCCTCCCCTAGGTCGTCTCAGCCCCAAAATTGAGGACCTTGTGCGGTGTGTAACAATATCTCCACCGGGGAGACAAAGGCGGGCGGGGTGTTGACCACCGACCCCTCGTGTGCCACAGCCCCCGGCCTTCACGGGCGCCGCTCGCCAGCGCCACTTGCCCCAACGGTCTGTTGAGGCTACACGGGGGGGGTGATCTTTGTCTTTGTAGGCGGTGCACGAGGAGGTGGTGCGCTACGACGCGAGGCTCCACAAGACTGTGGGGCTCCTCGAGTTCTGCCGGGAGGTGATGCACGAGGCTGACCCCAGCGGCTTCCTGCAGGTGCCCGCACAGCACCGGCCCGGGCACCAGCGTCATCCACCCAGTAAACGTTGGCCCAGCGTTGGAATGTGGTTGGAGCCGTGAGAACCGATGCTGGGCCAATGTTGGGCCAACGTTGCAATGGTAGTTGGAGCCGTTGGGCCAAACCACCACCGTGCGGCCACCCCACCCCTTCGCGCGCCGTGCCGGGCCTCCACAGGTGCTGCTCGCTAACGGCACTTGCCCCAACAGTCTGTTAAGGCGACACGGGAGATCTTTGTTTTGTTTTTGTCTTTGCTACTGCTGCTGCCCCCGCTGCCACCGCTACCGCCGCCGCTACCACCGCCGCTGCGCAGATCTCGGAGGGGCTGATCGTGCGCGTGGCGTCGAGCGGCGACGAGTGGGCCCGCGTCTGCGAGCAGCCGCGGCCGCCGGCCGAGCTCGGCCTGGACCTCGACATGGAGCCGCTGCACGCGGCCATCCACCAGCTCGACTTCGTGCAGATGAAAGGTGACGGTTGCCGCGCCGCCGTGCCGCCGTGCCGCCGTGCCGCCGTGCCGCCGTGCCGCGCCGCGGACGTGCATCGGCATTCCAAAAGCTCGTGAGTCGGTTTCGTTGACCCGGGCGAGAGAGAGAGAGCGTGCGCGAGCGCTCCGTGGGAGCCGGAGAGAACTCTCGCTGGCGCGCGTTCACCGCGTCACCGAAATGACAACAGCGTAGCGGGTAAGGGTGATGCGCTGGCAATGAGGCAAAACAGAGATCGGCACAAAAACAATTGCGTCACGAGAGGAAATCAATTATCACGAGCGGTTTTTGAAAGCTTTGGTCAATGTCAACTGAATAAGATAACAGCACTTGCCCCTGCAGTCTGTTCGAGGCTATGCAGGGGAGTCCCCCCCCCCCCATACCCCCCCGGTTCCCCCCTTTCCCTTCCTCCCATCGCCTGTCCCTTTCTTTCCCCCCCACTGTTGGTTACCTTCCCATTCAAGCTCCTTTCCCCTCCCCATATAAACCTTCATGCCCCCCCCCCGCTCCCGCTCGCACGTGGCCAACCACGTGGGTGGGGCAGCTGGCCCAATTGACCCCCTCCATTGGGCAGCCGTCGCGCCGAAACTCCGGGCCGCTGTTTGCGGAGTTTCTGTTGCCCCCCCCCCCCACCCCCCGTTTCAGCGATTGTCGTCTTGTACCGGGGCTCGCGTTGGAGTTATAGTTTTTAAAATAAACAAATAAATATCTCAACGTAATATTATTAACACTGAGACTATATGGGTGGGGAACATTTGCCTTTTGTGCACAGCGCCGCCGGCCCCCGTGCTGGAGCTGTCCTCCGAGTGCCGCACGGAGGGCAGCGCCGCGACGCTGTGCTGGGCACCGGCGCCGCGCACGCCCGTCCGCGTCGACGGCTTCATCCTGGAGCTCGACGACGGCAGCGGGGGGGCCTTCCGGGTCAGTGGAGGGGGTCGCCGAGGCGGGGGGGGGGGGGGGGGGGGGGGGGGGGGGCCTCGCGGGTGGAGCCGCGGCCAGGCAAAAGGTGCCGACATCGATTTCCCGCCCGCGGGTCACCGACGCCGCCGACGATCATCTACAACCCCGAATGTTGCTCGGCAAAAAATTCGAGACGGCGGTCCTTGATAAATAACGGCCACGAGGAAGCAGCCCTTAAAGAGCCGCGTGCGGCTCCGGAGTCGCAGGTTGCCGACCCCCGACCCTGGACCTCCCCTAAGTCGACTCAGCCTCAAATGAGTACCCCGGTGCAGTGTGTGAAACATCACCACTCGGGAGAGAGAGGCAGTGTGGACGTGCTGGCCACCGTAGGTGCTGCTCGCGAGCCGCACTTGCCCCAATGGTCCGTTAAAGGCTACACGGCGGAAGGGGCAGCCTCACCTGTGCTCACCTGTGCTCACGCATGAACGTGCCGTCTTGACGGTTTTGCGTGTCCCTGCGCGCGTGCGTGCGTGCGTGCGTGCGTGGCCGCGCGCAGGAGGTGTACGAGGGCACGGAGGTCATGTGCACGCTCGACGGGCTGCACTTCAGCAGCACGTACCGGGCGCGTGTCAAGGCCTACAACCACGCGGGCGCCGGGCCCTACAGCAAGACCGTGCTGCTGCAGACCTCGCCCGGTGAGCCGGCGGTGAAACTGTTTTAACTTTTTTTTTTTATTTTACCGGGTAAGGGCCCACTTGTGCTGCTACGTGTGGCTCCTTTTCAGAAGCGAACCTGGCATTCACAAATGATGGCTCAACTCAGTGGCTTATCATCACGTGGAAATGTTTTAGCAGCAGGCAAAAATATTCTTAACGTGGAGGGGAAAAACCGGAAGACTCGGAGAAAAATCCACATGACCACGGGGAGAGAGGCACTTTAATTTACCGTGAATGGCAAATCATTGCGATGATGTCTGAAGATTGAGGAAAAAGTTAAAGTAGGTTCTGCTAGAGCAGGTGACGTGTGGGTAGGGGTAGGGTGAGTATGACCTGCTATTTAGCTCTTTTTCAGAAGCCACCTGACTATGATAAATGATGGCTCAACCAACTGGCTTATCATGACGTGGAAATTTATAGCAGCAGTAAAATACTCTAAACGCGTGATGTTGATTCTAAATGTGGAGGGAAAAAACGGAGAAAAATCCACACGACCACGGGGAGAGAGAGAGAACATGCAAACTCCGAATATACAGCAGACGTCAGGTTCGGGATCGAACCCACGACCTCCTGTATATCAGGTGAGGGAGTGAACATCTCCTAGCCACCGTGCTCATGACGAGAGAGAGAGACACCGCAAACTCCGAATATACAGCAGCAGACGTCAGGTTCGGGATCGAACCCACGACCTCCTGTGTACCAGGCGAGGGAGTGAACAACTCGCCGCTGCGGGTGGTCCGGTCCTGGCGTCCCTGCCTCCTCTCGGTCCTCGGCTTGGCACGGCAAATAGCCAGCGGGGGAAAGACAGAAAGAAAGAACCCATTACTGGCTTGGCTTGGATGTGCCAGTGGAGAAAGGGGGTGAACGAGGCGTGCCGTGCCGTGCAGTGGCGTGGTTCGCGTGGGACCCGACGGCGGTGCACGAGGACGTGGCGGTGTCGAGCGAGGGCCGCGTGGCCACGTGCCGGAGCTGCGAGGACCGCGTGGTGCTCGGCACCGCTGGGTTCTCCCGCGGCGTCCACTACTGGGAGGTGCGGCATCATCATCATCATCATCAGACAGTTAGTCATCATCATCATCATCAGCAACGATCGTCGTTGTCATTGTCGTTGTCGTCGTCAGCCATTGCTGATCCAATGCTGGATGAAGACTTACCCAAGGTGTCCCCATCACGTGCCATCTTTTCCGGCATCGTCAGCATTGCAATAAGCATCAACCAATGGATCATCGTCATCGTCGTCGTCATCATCATCGTCGTCGTTAGTCACGATCTATCCGCTATCGGGGGCGGGGGGTGGGTAGGCATTAATATTAACATGGATCAATTAATCATGATCATCATCATCATCATCATCCATGGCCTATCTACTGCTGCTACTGCAAATACCGTCACTCTCTGTCATCATTGCCTTCATCTCTCACGTCGATATTAACCAACCAAAATCGTAACGCTCTTATCTGTAGCATCAGAAGTATGTTGGCACCGTTGCAGCACCACCGCACGCACAACAGCTCACCGTTATCCTACTGGTGGTTCTGCCGGTGACTCCGAATCGTATCAACAACGCAAACGTCTTTCAACACGTCAATAGCGGTACGATTATTAAAAAAATATACATATTTATGCCGCCTGTCAATGGGTGCCCCGAGCTACCGGTCACTACGAAGGCAACACTCCATTACAGTTCATTACTTCTCTGCGGATGAGAAGACAAAAATATAGAAGAGACGATTCATAATCAATTCCTGAATCGAATCTCGTCCGCGCGTCGTGACGGTTCATCGAATCGCCGTGCGTGTTGTTTTTTTGTCCCGCTTGCTGTTCGCTTCATCGCTGCAGAGTACTTCGATTATTTTTTTGAACGCCTCCGTCGTCTTGGCGATGCGCGAGCCGCCCCTTCGAGTTCCCCGCCTGGTTTAAGTAAAATAAACTCGGAACCCGAAAACTCGGAGGCCGGAGAGAGAGAGAGAGAGGAGACGGGAGCGTCGAATCGTGATGCTCCGGCCGGGTCGAGCCTCCCGGAGAGCGGTGCGAGCCTCGCCGATGACGCTTCCGGCTCACGCGTGCTCCTCGTCAGGTGCGGCTGGACCGCTACGAGGGCCGGCCGGACCCGGCGTTCGGCGTTGCCCGGCGCGCCGTGCGGATGGACGCCATGCTGGGCCGCGACCCCCACGGCTGGGCCATGTACGTGGACAGCAACCGCAGCTGGATACTCCACAACAACACGCACACGCGCAGGTGAGGATGGGACGGGCGGGTGAGGTGCACGGGTGGGTGGGGTGTGTGCCCAGGTGAGGATTGGGAGGTGAGGGCACGGGCAGGTGAGGACCGTGGAACTCTTCGGGAACACATCCTCCTGCGCGTCATAAAAGGAATTACCGTAGTGCGTTGGCATCTGTGGATGAAACGCGCATTGCAAATGTTAACTAATGTTTTAATTATTATCAGTACTTTATGTATGTGTAGTGACTGACTCGGAGTAGGAGGCACTCTGTTTATTAACACGGCCTGACAGTAACACTTAGTAACTACGGTTCCCGGTCAGGACGGCTGGTAGACTGCCTGGCTGGCGACGCCGAGATGGTGAAGACTCCAGCAGCAGCACGACGGAGATCCCACTCCACACGACAGCCCCGAGGTTCCCTCCCGGGGCCCCTCTTATACTGTCAGCGTGGCCTGGCTCCGCCCCCGGCCACGCCCCCCTTCTGAAACCTACCAGCGGGTTCTCGATGTGCCCCTTCCGTGACCCATCCCCTAGATCCCTCTCTGGTCTATCACGTGACCTGCTGTCAGTCAGGGCTGCTACAAGCTGCAGATCCCCTTCCCTGCCAGCAGCCAGCGCTATGCTGCTACGTCACCGATTCTATGTCACTACATATGTATGTTGAACTTCTTTCGCGCTGTACGTATCCAACCTTGCTAATCGGAGCTGCGGGGGAAGGACAACAAACTTTGGGACTCTCTGTGAGTCTATGTACATGTGTATATAGAACTTGTTTTGCACTTTACACAGCCAACCTTGCTAATCGGAGGTGCGGGGGAAGGACGACAACATTTTACAAAATCTCACGCAGGGCGGTGTGTGCCGTTTGTCGCTCTCCGTGCCGCAGGACGGAAGGCGGCATCGGGAAGGGCAGCCATGTGGGACTGCTGCTCGACCTGGAGGGCCGGACACTGTCCTTCTTCCTGGAGAGGGAACAAGTTGGATCCCTGTCCCTGGGCTCAGCCGAGGGGCCGTTCTACCCGGCGCTGAGCCTTAACCGTGGCGTGCAGGTCGGCGCTCGCACTTTCCCGTCAATTTTTTTTCGCGGTGGTCACACAACGTGCACGCAAAGCATGATGGGAACGTCTCCGGATCCACCGAATCAACGTGCGTTCAGAGGATTTGGCTGCTCTGCATTTCCACGTGAAGATAAGCCACTTCGTTGAGCTATCATTTGTGATAGCCAGGTCACTTCTAAAAAAGAGCTACGTAGCTCAGTGGGCCTTACCTGGTAAAATAAAATTAAATTTTACAGTTTGGTAGTTTATATTGCCTGGTCACAGGTGCACGGCTAAAGTCCACAGGGGAAGGGATGGCGGTTGTGCATAGAACCCACACTGACCAGCGTGGTGAAGTTTAGTTAATTTCGTGTGTATGTTGACATGTGTCGACGTGGTGTCAATGCTGACCCGTTGCCCACCCGTGTCGCAGGTCACCCTGTTTTCGGGCCTTGACATCCCGGAGCTTGGCTGCGGCAGCAAAGTGGCTCAGGCCTGATGGACAAACGGCTTCCCCGGGGCCAGCGCCGGTCTTCCCAGCAAGGCACGGACGCCACTGCCGCCCCCCCCCCCCCCCCCCCCACTATCCTCCACCCTCCCCAGATCGTCGCCACGCAATTCCCAGCCGCCCCTTCCCACTAGCCACGCACAAGATGGACCGCTCCGAAGCGGCCGTTGCTACGTGGGGCGGCGGTGAACACCGCTGACCGTGCTGTACCGATGAGTCCTGGCGAGGACGAAGCCGGTTGTGCCGTCACAGTTCTGGCGAGCCGGCGGCTTAGACAAGGCTGAGGGCATCGAACACGCAACGCGGTGGTCACACAACGTGCACGCAAAGCATGATGGGAACGTCGCGCCTTCGTGCTGTTTGTGAGCACCCCCTTTGCGCGTCGTCAAACCTACGTGGCCATGGTTTAAAAAAAAAACCGATGTGAAGCTATTCGCGTTGTTTTTTTTTAAGCGATGGAAATGTACAGCTCTAAGTGATTGTCGGTCGTGGCGACGTAGCAGCGATGGTAGTCTGGAAATAGACTATGTTGCTTTGCCGTCCGTGGCACTTTCTATTCTTGCGTTTGCTATGATTTCACGATCGATTGAGCAGCGATTCGGTCTTCTTGTCGTTCGTTTGTATGGCGGGGGGGGGGGGGGCGGGGAGTTGATTCACATCGACGTTGGTGAGTGAGCCAGCGAACGAGATACTCGTTTGAGGATCCATTGACCCGTAGACTCGCATAGACATCCATCGGCTCACACGTACACATGGCTGGTGAATATCTGACATGTTGCCAGCGAATGATGAGACTCATATAGAGACTCACAGACTTACAGAGAGGCCCATAGACTCACATTGACATCCATAGACACAGACACGCACACACATGCCCATGGTGAATATCTGAAATTCTGCCAGCGAATGGCTCATATAGAGACCCATAGACTCACACACTCACCTGGTGAATATATGAAACCCTACTCTTTGGTTCTATTCGGTAAAGTCACGTAGGTAAAAAATAAAACAACAACAATCACGACGTTTCGGCCACAACACAAGTGGCCTTCATCAGGTGAAGGGGACCGTACTGTCACGAGGACAGCGTTGAAATGAAGAAAGTCCAGCTCAGGTCGCGTCCTTTAAGCTGTGTGGGAGAAAGTAAAACGCTTTGACAAAGGAATTACCTACGTGACTTTACCGAATAGAACCAAAGAGTATGGATCCTTGCAGTCACGAAAGCTTCAAATCTAGAATATGAAACCCTGTCAGTGATTGACTGAAGCAGACAGTGGTTTTACGATGTGCAGCCTCGTTTGAGATTTAGACTCAAGGACAAAGATCCCCCCCCCCGTGTAGCCTTAACAGACTGTAGGGGCAAGTGCTGTTAGCGAGCAGCACCTGTGAAGGCCGGAATCGCAGACGAGGGGGTGGGTGGCCAGCACCACGCCCGGCCGCCTTTGTCTCTCTAGTGGCAATGTTTTTTTGCACATCGCACTAGGCAAGCAATTGAGGCCGAGTCGACCTAGGGGAGGCCCAGAAGCGGTTCAGATAATCGGCACTGGTGTTGGCCGTGAGTGGGAATCGAACTCAGGTCGCCAGGTTCATAGCGCAACGCGCTAACACACAGACAGGCACACACTTTGAGAACACGTAAATTGTTGAATGTAATAAAACACTACAGTTAACTTTGCAGCATCGTGAGAGATGGCAGGGGCTTGGGTACGCCTTCATCCAGCAGTGGATTGACCAAGGCCAACGACAATGACGATGATGCTAGTTGATGAATGTCAAATCCTCTGGTAACGCACGAAAATTACCTCCATGTAAAAAGCCGCGGGAAAAGTCGGAGCGACGATGATTGTGTTGCCGGCGGCATGGCCTCAAAGTACACCTAGCCTGGCACAAGCGGCGTGGTCACGTCACCGCCCCTTAGTGGTGAGTGGCTGCTGGTGCTGTTGAGAGAGAGAGAGACCCCCATATCTCTGTAACTTTAATGACACCGGGCACAAGTTTGGAGTGCCCCTTACGATTCTTACGATTCGAGCGTCTGACGATTCGGGCAAATAAGTGCAACACATTTCTGCAAATTGAAAACTCTTTTTTGCGTTCAGCTCGTTGTCTTTCGCCCCCGCACCTCCGATGGTTACGGTTGGCTGCACGCGGTGCAAAAGAGATTTCCAGCGTGCGCACGTGCGGCGCACGTTGAAGCGACCGAGCGAGAGACCCGGTCATTGAGTGCACGCTTGGCCGGCACCTTCCCCGCACGGACGGCTCCCACGATAAACATTCTGGCTGCCCAACCCCATCGCGGTGGTGCAATTGCCCGGAAAAGTTTGTGCGAAACGCATTCTTTCATGAGATTTTTTTTTTCCCAAACCGCACGTTGTGCGTGCTTTGTCGCGAGCAAGCCGGAAGGGATTGCTCCGCCGGAGTGTCGTCGGTGGCCTCGCGCGATATCGTGGCAACGTCAACAATTGACCGTGACGGTGAGGGTGCCCTTTAGCCTCGGCGAGTCTCGAGACCGTCTCTTTTTTGAGGAGGTGCCCTTCGTTCAGGAGGGTCCAGGAGGGTCCAGGAGGGTCCAGGAGGCCCGTATGTCTGTGCTGCATCCCCCGCTGGGGGTAACGGTAGGTGCACTGGACCTGCGATTCCAGAGGTCTCCGGTTCGATCTCCCGGCGGCGGCGGCGGCGGTTGAAACGACGATTCAAGATTCTTAAATCCCCGCCCCCACTGCTGCCACTGCTGTCCACCCAGCAACAAAAAATGGGTTCACAGCAGTTGGCAGGGTCGCGTGCGGTGGGCTAAAGTGTGGGTACCTCCCCCCCCCCCCCCCCAACCTCTTCCAAGACGTTTGGCCACAAAGTGGGAGAGTAGGCCAAATTACCCTCTGGAGGGGGAGGCGCTCTCTAGGCCTCATTGTGGTGGAGAACTTTCCGCTAGCAGTGGCACCGAGCAAGTGATTGCAGGGCTACACCGTTACCCTTGTCACCCTGCATTGGGATTTGTTTTTTTTTGTTTTGGCCAATTCCATGAACGAGTCGTTTGGATAACGTGAGCCTTTTTTTCCTTTTGAGCTGCTGTCACCAAAATTTGTGGGCATTTTGTGTGCCGCTAAAACAAAAGAAATACGTACAAACATTCGTGCTCCTCGCACAGAATGTACTTCTTGGTGCTAAATCGACCAGCGGGAGGTGCAGCCCGTTCACTTGGGGCGAGGGGCGGGCTTGGTGAGGGGGCGTGCGGCCGACAAGGCTGCGCAGTCTAAAAGCTTTCACAAAAGCCAAATTCACCTCGTGAGAAATTGTGAGAACTTTTGACGCGCATACATTTTTTTTTACCGGCCTCAGTGTGTTTCTTTTGCTTGTTTGATTTTCCCCTCAGAATTCGCCCCCTTCGAGTGATTGTACAGGGTGATCATAACGGTGTCATCCTTTATTTAAACGTTCTAATTTCACCGCAAATTTGAGCTCCGGTCAGAAGCGACACACACGGGTGATACGTTTCAGATTTAAACGTTAGGATTATGGGTTTTTAAGGACCAATTTTTTTAAATATTTTTTCAAACCCTTTAGTCCTTTGGAACTCTTTGCACGATGTAATAATGGAACGCGTCCTCGTGCTCACAACGGCGACGTCGTCACCCGGTGACGCCGCTTTTGACGGGAAACCCCACGCTGAACGCTGAAGCTGCGTAATTGTATCACCTCGTCCCCTCACTTTGCGCTTCTGGGATCAACCTCAAACCGGCTCTAAACCCTTTCCCGTTCCAATGACGTGCATGCACGTATGTGTGCGTCATCAGTTTTTCTTCTGGTACTGAGGCTCCCACAAGGCCATGCGGGAGGGCGTGTGGGACGGTTTTGGCACCAGGTATCATAGAGTGCGGTGGTGTCGCTACAGTTCTCTGCGGTGAGCACAACGTCTTTAAAACTAGCGGCACTGCTACGCCTGTCTAAATTAAATTAACGCTGAACCGCTTGCACGTTCCCGAGATTCAGCGGTGAACGGGGGACCCCACCGACCGTACAACTTGCAGTCGCCTCGGAACGGGAAAGGGTGAATAAGTAGAGAACGGCGAGCGGAGCGCGCGGTGCCGAGTGAGTCGGAGGCACGGCGTGGGCGACGGCGATGGAGCCGTCGCACTTTCCAGGGTTTTGTCCGAAATTTCGCGTCCAGGCGCGATCTTCCCACGGCTATTTTTTCTTTTTCATTTCGTCGCATCGACCTGGTACTCGGGGAGCAAACGCGTCCTCACCGTGGGCAGCGTGCACGTGAGAGTGTGAAGATCTTACATCGCGTGGGCCTCATCCATCGACGCCCGCCGGTGCCCGCCGCACGTCCCCCGTCGAGACTCGACAGCTCCCCCCCCCCCCCCGCTCCGTTCGCTGGCTTCTCGGCTACAATGTTTTTGTTTTCTTCCCCCAAACGCCCGCATCTCCATGCGTCAAATGCATTGGCTAGGAGGCGGTGGCCGGTGGCGGTGGCTGCACTGTGCAGGCAGCAGCGAGGGTTGGTGGACCACCGCACACAGATGTTTTGAAACTCCCTTGCCGTGGGAGGAGCAGAATGCGGCACAGCGAAAAGTGGACTGCACCTGCTCCGTCTGTCTGGGATAGAGTGTTGCCCCCTCGCATGCGCGGATTTTCTCCGGGCGCTCCGGGTTTTCTCCCATGTGTAAACGCTCGTTGATTGTCCGATAACCTCCGCCATATACGGAGGACCACAGAGCCTGGTGAGGAATTTGGCATCGGCTCACCGCGTGGCTTCTCTGCCTTTCCTACTGGACATCTGTGAAAGAGAGCTTCATCGCTCGTCGAATTCCTCCGGTATAAGTAAATATTCTGATTCTAATTATCTTTTCCGCTTGTTCGAGGTTCCTAGCGCCTCCTGGTCGCCCCCGTCTTCGCGAGTGAACGATTAGCGTGTGGTGGCGCGTTACAAAGTTGAAATGGTCACGAAGTGGTACGTGTGACGCTTCGTGATAATTACATTGCTCAAACCATTTTCGGTTCAGCGAATATTTGCGCGCAGTTCAATCTGTCCTATTATAATTTGGTGTGCCGTTCGGTAGCAATTGCGATTCCACGCAATTGCTACCGAATCATGCTCAGGGTTCGTTTGAAAGCCAGGAGAAGGAGGTGGGACCTTTCGGAAAGAGGTGTGGGGCCTTTAATAAAGAGGTCGGGCCTTGAAGGCAGAGGTGAGTTTTAAGAAAGAGCCGTCTGGAACGCTCTTCTTTCCGATATTAGGAAGTAACTGGGAGCTGTGCACTTTTAAATCTAGATTGAAAACGAATTTCTTTAAAACTGCTTTTTGTGTTTAGTTTGTCGTCCTTCGCCCGCACCTCCGGTGGCGAAAGAAGATCAACAAACATACGCGTACAAAGAGGTGGGCTCGAACAAAGAGGTGGGAAACTCTTAAGAAAGAGGTGGGGGCCGCGTTCCAGACGGCCTGAGAGCTGCCATGGAGAAACGAGGCCTTGCCTCGGTGGAAACTGACTCCCCCTGTGACGTTAAAAAATAAAAGTTGTATCTTTTAAACAACGACAAAACATTTGTAATTTCTAAATCTCCTTGAAGATAAAAAAAATCTCAAACTTTTGGTTGTGAATCGTGACAATAGGGGCTTTTTTTCGTTGGTAAATGTGGTAATTATGAACTGCTTCTGTGTACAGTGCCAATGATATGATGATCTGCGGTAGTGCATGCAACGAGAGAGACTGGATAATAGATATAATAGAGCGCACTTTCAAAACGTGGCCGTTTTTCTTTCCCGTTCTTTCTGTCATTAACAACTGAAGACAAATGCTTGGTTCTTTCGGTAAAGTCACGTAGAAGGGAAGCAATAAAATAAAAATATAAAACAATAAAATTCTCACGACGTTTCGACTGCAACACAAGCAATCATCATCAGGTGTGAAAACCACG